GTGTTCCTTTTTCTCTTCATCCTCTCCAACATTTGTTATTACTTGTCCTGTTGATTATAGCTATTCTAACAGGTGTGAGATGGTGTCTCATTATAGTTTTGATTTGCATTTTCCTAATAGCTAGCGATGTTGAGCATCTTTTCATATGTTTGATGGCCATTTGTATATTCTCTAGGAAGAAGTGTCTGTTCAGGTCCTATGCCAAATTTTGATTGCATCATTTGTTTTTTTGTTGTTGTTATTGAGTCATATGAGTTCTTTGTATATTTTGGATATTAGGCCCTTATTGGAGGCGTTGCTTGCAAATATACTTTCCCATCAGAACAGTTGTCTCTTTACCTCGTTGATGGTTTCTTTTGCTGAGCAGAAGCTTTTTAGTTTGATGTAGTCCCATTCATTTATTTTAGCTTTTACTTCCCTTGCCTTTGAAGTCAAATTTATAAAATCCTCTTTAAGACTAAGGTCCTTGAGTTTAGTTCCTATGTTTTCTTCTATGCATTTTATTGTTTCCGGTCTTATATTCAGGTCCTTAATCCATTTTGAGTTAATTTTGGTGTGTGGTGGTAGACAACAGTCTAGTTTCATTCTTTTGCAGATGGCTTTTCCATTTTCCCAGCACCATTTATTGAAGAGGCTTTTCTGTCTCCACTGTATGTTTTTGGCTCCTCTTTCAAAAATTATTTGCCCATATGGGTTTACTTCCAGGCTCTCAATTCTGTTCCACTGGTCCATGTGTCTGTTTTTCTGCCAATACCATGCCGTTTTGATTACCGTCGCTTTGTAGTATAATTTGAAGTCGGGCAGAGTGATGCCTCCAGCCTCGTTCTTTTTTCTCAGGATGGCTTTGCAATTTGGGGGCTTTTGTGCTTCCATACAAATCTTATGATTTTTTTATTCTATTTCTTTAAAAAATGCTGATGGGATTTTGATGGGGATTTCATTAAATCTGTATAATGCTTCAGGTGGTAAGGTCATTTCAACTATATTGATTCTTCCAATTCAAGAACACAAAATATCTTTCCATTTTTTGGAATCTTCTTTGATTTCTTTTATCTTGGCTTTCTTTGTAGGCTTTTTTGGCTTGTCTTATCTCTCAAGGTTGTGAATAATTTATTGGTGAGAAGACAGGCAAAGAAGTAGGAATACTCTGATTTAGTAATTTCATATCTAGGAATTCTATGGAAATATTAATATGAATGCTGAGAATTACACACAAAGATTTTCATTGAACATAATTTGTGATAAAATTTGCAAGCAACCTGTCATCAATAAGGAATAGTTAATCTTCAATATAAATATCAATGGGGATATAATATCAATAGAGATAGATAAAGAAAATGGAATTCTTTACAGTCTTCAAAAGATCAGGAAGT